TGAATTTCAGGTAAACAATGAATAACTTTTCAGTATAGGTGTATCTCATGCAACTTTTGGGACATACTTAAAACTTTAAAATGATGAGTTGCTTCTGCAAAATCCTAATGCATCTGGTTGTCCTGTATTTTATCTGTCAACCTTACTCATGACCTGGACTGAGCCCTCAAGAGAGTGCTTTCTGCAGGATGCAATTAAAAGACAACCGAATCTGCTTCTCTCAGGGAGGACAGTGCAAGACATTTTCTGCCATGTGGAGAAGGCTAACCTACCAAGGGAGAAATTAGCTGAAGTCAGAAGTCAGCAACAAACAGAGGTGAGTGCAGCAAGAGTAGGCGGCGCCAGGGGCCAGGTTCAAGTGTTTTCCCTGCCCTTCCTACGCCTTAGTGATTCTGCTGTCTGTCTACGGATTCCCTACTCCCTGCCCATTCCCATCCCAGCCCCGGCTCCTGTGGTCAAGGGAGCAAGGAGAGGCATTTGAATTCAGCAACTCAATGGTAATAATATCAAGCAAATGCACTTTTGGCACAATATGGCCGGGGTTGCTGTGTTATATTGCACATGGTCAAAGCCATTTCTTATACAGACCAGATGGGGTATTTTTCCAAAGGAAATTAATCCTCAAGATGGCAAATTATGTTTGATTTCAGAAACTTAAAGAGAACACAAGTCAGAGTTGAAACACACACCTTTCCCCCGCCCCATCCACAGTATCAGAAGTTCTTCTGCAAATCAAGTGGAAAAGCTCACGGATAGCTCATAGGATACCTAAAGTGCCTAAAATCTGCATAACAAAAGATGTATAACAAGTCATAGACATTGGGTTCATGCCCCATAAAGAGGTCCCATAGACCTATAAGAAAACCACACTGGCAACTGCAGAAAGTGGGCCGGGGATATTTGCAAAAGAAATATAAACTTCTAATAAGCATACAAAACAAACGTTCAACCTCATTAATAAGCAAGTATATCTAAACAGAAACATCAAAATACTCTTTTTAAACTCTTCAGTTGGCAAATTAAGAATATCAATTTGCCAGGTGCAGTGGCTCACACCTGTAATCCCAGCACTTTGTGAGGCCGAGATGGGTAGATCACATGAGCCCAGGAGTCTGAGACCAGCCTGGGCAACAGAGGGAGACCCTGTATCTACCAAAAATTAAAAGATTAGCCTGGCGTGGTGGCCTGCACCTGTGATCCCAGCTACTCAGGAGGCTGAGATGGGAGAATTGCTTGAGCCTGGGAGGTCAAAGCACTGCATGCCAGGCGGCACAACAGCGTGAGACTCTATCTCAGGGGAAAAAAATAAATAAATAAGAATGTCAATTTTACTGAATGCCGGCAAGGGTTCAATAGAATGTGTACTCTCTTATACTAATGGCATGTGTATCCCTAATATGCAAATAAATTGGATAAAATAACAAATGGCAAAGAGCCTAACAGAAAAAAATGAGCAAAGGGATTGAACAGCCAATTCACAGAAGAGGTGCAGGTGGTCAAAAGAGATTAGGTATAGATATAGATGCAGGTGTAGAAATTTAGATTTAGATAAATGCTCCCCGTCACACCCAGGGATCAAAGTAAAACAAGATACTAGTTTTGTTTTCCTAAGCCAAGATATTTGTCTTGGCCTATGACATCATGAATCCTGATAACTTCTATTCCTGGGAAGCATTTGGGGAAATAGCCAGTCTCTCACAAAGTTGGTAGGAGTAAGTATTCCTCCAGCATTTTTGGATGGTAACTCAGCAATAACAGTTAGAAGGACCTGAAATCTCTGACACCTCTGTTTCTTCCTTGAAGATAGAAAATTATTGTTTACCGTCCTCTTAAAAGTGAATGTCTGCCTGCTGTGGTGGCATGTGATTGTGGTCCCAGCTACTTGGGGAAGCTGAGGCAGGAGGGTCCTCAAACTCATGGCATGAACCCATGAGTTTGAGGCTGCAGTGAGCTATGATTGTGCCACTGCATGCCAGCCTGGACAACATAGTGAGACCTTATCTCTTAAAAAAAAAGTCAATCCCCAATTCTTACTGTCTCAGGAAATAATACTTATTCTTTTCTAATTTAGAAAACACATTTTTAAAATTTCTAACAGTGGGGTTATTTTGCCTGTGTTTTGACCCACTTTATCTCTATTGCAGGCAGCTTGATAAATCATGTCCCATTTTTAATATTTCATTATGAGTGTGGTGACCAATTTGGGTGCCATATTGTTGTTGAAAAAACAAAGCTTAAATGTGGAGGACTGTAACAAAGTAATTGGATGTTCGGGAACAATGGGAAACCGGTGACTGTGTTTGGGTGGATGACGACCTGTGTCCGGTACATCCAGGTTGCGCTGCTGATATACGGCCCATTCCTCCTCTTCCTTCCTTGGAATTTTTCCCACTGCCCCATCAACTAAGCACATATTCCCCCCTTCAAGCTTTCCTTCGTTCCTGGGCAGGAGTCCCTGTGCTTGGAATCCTGCCCCATCCCATCCCGTCAAGCTGTCTCCTGCAATCATTCTAGCAGCTCCTGAAATCCTGCTTCCTCCACAAAGCCCTCCCCAGCTGAGAGCAAAGTGATTTTCCTCCAGCTTCCCACCTGTTCCAAGCGTGTGGCCCTGCCACACTGCTCCCTCCCTCCCTCCCCCTTCCGTTGTTTTCTGTACCCAGGGACCAGACCGTGCGCTCAACGATGTCCTGTCCACTAAATGGCTGCTGTGTCCTGGCCGTCCTTTTCTGTGCCTGTTTGTGTCCACTGTGGCAGATGCCAGTGTTTATAAATGTGATTTGCTTCTATCAGCAATGTGGGAGAGTGGCGTGGTGGCCGCTTGCATTCTCAGGAGATGACCATACAGGACATTGCCAAGTTCAAAGTTCCATGGCTCAGTAAACCAGGCTTGCATTTAGGGTCAGCTTTGCTCTCTGGGAGACTTACTGGAACCTTTCTGTGCCTGTCTCAGGTTTCCTTAGGATAGAGTAATGCTGATTTAACTGGCAAAATCTGAAAATTACACTAAGGATAGTGACTTTAGTGTAACGAAGAATTTGATCGTTTAAGTGTTAAAATTACTACTAACAGCCAAATCTAAATGTTAGAATTAGAATCCATCCTCCCACAATTCTATTTTCCTCTTCCGTGGTTCAGTGACACTTTAATTGAACTGGATTCCACAGCACGAGCACTCTGATATCTGGCACCATGAAACACCTTCAGTTGCTAAAATAGATGAAAAGTTTTCTTTTAAAGCCTTTTTCCACTCTCATATCTAAACAAGACTAAAATTAATTTCACACTCTTTTTACCTTTGGGGAAAATGCTTGCTTTTACGGCCTTCTCCTAATGTCAAAACAAAAGTTTCCTTTTACTTCTCAGAATCTTGAGCTCCTTTTCTGATAAAGAGAAAAACAAATGTGCTGGAATTAGGTCCCGCATTATTACCGTACTGAATCAAACCAGGAACTTCGGCTTCCAGGAACCGGTAGCGCTAATGTTAGCAGGCAGCATGAAACAGAAGAACGCAGGAATCACCCAATTTTCTCACTCACTCATTTCACCTTTAATTGTTTCCTAAAGTGTTGTATGAATATTTGAAAGCCATATTTTGAATGCTTTACAGCTTAAGGTGAGATACAAAGGTGTTTTTCACATGATTATATACAATTACTTTCTGCAGTCAGTGGTGCTACAGAAGGCCAAAGGATTTTCCCTCCTCCTCTGTCAGGGAACAAGAGAAACACAACAGGCTCAGGCTCCAAACCTCTGGTCCTTGTGAGTGATGTTTTTCTGTTTTATACGGACACCGACAAAATTATCCCAAGGAGCCCAAACGGTGATATACAATCAATTACAGATGCTAGAAAATGGAAGCACATTGCACGTTAGCATTTCTGCCTTCTAATAAAGCAGTGGGGATCGGATGCCCTTCTTCATCTGTCTGCTCACGACCGGTTTGTTCCTTCACACCCACTGTGCCATGGGTCACCTACCCAGGATCGCAGCAGACAGACTGTAAAGGCAGGTGAGTGGCCGCTGACTGCTGATCCCTGCCTCCCTCCTCCTCCGGCCATCTGATCTGGTCCAACCATATCCTTGAGAGTGAGAAGAGATGAGGAATGATTCTCCTTTCAATGGCAAGGAGAGGCCATGAAAAACTGCGGGTCGCAGTCTCTGCAGAACCTTTGTCGGCATCAAGGGCTCCCTCTCTCCCACATCAAGCAGACAATCCCTTCCCCAAATCCAGAAGATCAGCAATAATTGACTTGGCTTCTGGCCATTACCCTTCTGGTACAAACGCAACAGCACAGTTCACTAGCTCTTTCCGATCTGTCCCTCCCTCCCTTCAAGTGACTCCTCACATCTGATTAAAATCGGTAATGCGGTAGTCCTGGAGAGAGGAGGTGCTATTTATTTCTGTCAAGTTCTGCTTGGAAGGTTTGAGGCTTCCTCCTACCAGACATTTCACTAGTAAACAGAAAAGTCACCCATATTGTCATGCTTGCCCTGACCTGCAAGCTAGTGAACAATAAATCTTAATTATAGTTAAATGCCAAAATCTGCAAAGAATGAGGCAGCACTAGTCAACTGTGAATTGGTCCGACTCCCCCGCCTCGGCTGGGGTGCAGCTGCAGGAATACATAAATTAGTTTGTGATTTGTTTGTGCCGGAACAATCAGTCGAGGCTGTTTCTTGAGAGCGTTTCCAGTATCAGTGGGCACACTGGCATTCATCCTATTGCCATGTCAGATGCAGGTGGCATCTGGGAAGTTTTATTTTAAAGGACTTTCAGCATTATGCTCGGGTTAATAAGAAAGCGCTATTTTTAAATATCTCGGCAGTTTTCCAAAGTAGCGCTCAGCCTCCTGACATCTGCTCCGTCCATACTTGTTACCTTTGGGTTTATTCGGAGAAGCGCTGAATAACCTTTTTGTTAGCAATCTCCTTTTTGCACAGCGCAGGGCCACTGGAGATGGAGGCAGGCATCCATGTGGGGGCTTTTTCTTTTCTTTTCCTTTTTCCCTGCTGCTGTAAAGCTCATGTGCTTTTTGGTATTCAAGTATTTGCTTGTCATAATGCTAAATAAAGCCACCTTGTTGTTCCCTTGCCTGGGTCCTCTTGACGTATTGGCACCCATATGAGAGAATGAGAAAGGTGATTGCCGACATAACTCTGTGCAATGGCTTCAGGCTGTTCTATCAATTTTGAGACTGACAGGAGTTCGGAGATGGAACTTGGAAAGATGGAGTTTGGGCTGCTCAGCGCTGGATCCCATGAATCAATCTGCAATCTACTCCTGTTATTTTAGATGCAGATCCAGTCTGTCATCTGCAGGATGCCCCTATCGGGCGGTTTTCTAAATAATAAGGCTGGCATGGATTCCTAGCTTCTGGAATCAGCAGAGTGCAATGACAGACCTCGGGATGAAATGGCATTTCATTAATTACCAGGTGGGTGTGTACATCGGTAAGAAGGAAGTTTAAAAAAAAAAAAAAAAAAAAAAAAACCTTCCCCAACAGAGGTGGGTGGTGGGAGTTAGGGAGGGGTTACAAAATGGGCCGCTTTCTGATGTCATTTTAAGAAAAACGAAAGGGAAAGCTTTATTTGGTACTTGAATGGCAGGTAACCCTCACCTCGGGCCTGGGCAGAGGCCTCCCTTCCTGCCCCAGGGTGCAACAAGGCTGCATCCCAGCTCCCCCAAGCCCTGCTGTTGGCTCTTCCAGGCCCACCCGCGCAGACCCACCCTGTCGCCAGCTTCCTGTTTGTGTCGCTGCTTTGTTGCTTCCTGGCGGTCACTCTGAGCCTGCCCTTCTGCGGAGCCTCCATCCTGGGGACTGGCTCTCTTCCCAACTCTCTCATGTGCTAGCAAATCTGTCTCTGCCTCAGTCTAAACCCCACATTTTTAAAGGGCAGGCCTGGCCCTGGAGTCTGAGCTGAGCCTTCAGTCAGGGCTGGCCTCTTACAGGGCTCTGGCTTTCTGGGGACCTTTTCTCCCAAGAGCTGGCTCAGTGCATTCTTATGGTTGCTTCCTCACCTAGCTGCCTGCATTACTTTGAGGAAGGGACAAGGGTTGTTACCTCCCTTTACAGGCTGAAAAAGAGGCCTGGAGAGACTGCAGATCGAAGTGGTCCCGGGGAAGAAGAATGAGCTCCCAATCTGCTCACCCAAGATATATAAAGGAGCATCCACTAACATTGAAACACCCACCCGAGGCTTTCTACCATGTGTGAAGCATTTTATATGCATTATTGCATTTAATCTACACAAGCCCCTTGCCAGGTGGGCATTATTAGTCTTATTTTAAACCATGGAAACTGAGGTTCACAGAACGTATCATTATTCATTTGTCTGAATCAACTCCTCTCTCTCTCTCTGCAGGTACCTGCAAGCTTCCCCAAGGACACAATTACCTCATTCAGATGCCTGCTCAAATGCCACGCCCTCAGATGAGGCTCCTTCTGATAGATTGCACTCAATTACCTTCTGTCTCCTCCTGTCTTTATCTTTCTTTTGAGAATTTTTTCACCACCCAATATTGTGTATCTATATTTACTTGTGCCAGTCTGTGTATGAAGTCAGGGACTTTGGCTGTTTTGCTCACTGCTGTATCCTACTGGTACATGGCAGTTACGTCATACATATCTGCTAAGCGAATGAACGAATGGATGGATGAATAAATAAGGCTGCATGTCTTTCCATCTTAAAGCTAAAACAGTCATAACGTTTGGTCAGATTGTCAGAAATGACAGGTAATAATCCCTCCCAGATATGGAAACTCGGGCATAAGACCGACTGGTTCAGGATTCTGACATAAAGCACTAGTAGATCCAGGGCTAAACCATCAAACTCTGTGACTAACAAACTGACTATGGACAGTTATCCTTCCAGTGGCTTCGTGAATCCAAAACATGTGCCTGGGAACTGCTTTATTAAGCTTCTCAAAGTTCTCTTCCTGCATACTACAAAACTCTTGCCTAGACCTCACTAACCTGACTTCCAGCACGTTGGTGGCTGCTGACAGGAAGAAGGTGGCGAGCTGGTTGAGTTGATCCCTGTGTTGTTCAGAGAAAAGTCATGGTAACCCTTATTGCCTTCCCTCTATCCCCTCCCAGAGCCATACTTTTTAAGTCAAAAAAGATAATTTTTATGTTCTCTCTAATCCTCAAAAGTGACCCCTTCCAGTGTTGGAGGGCGTCCAGTGACACCTTCATGCTTAGAAGATCCAAGAGGAAATGTTAGGATCAGGACCCAACCAGAGATCCCCGCTAGAGCAAGCCTCTCTAGAAGTTACTCAAGTGTAACAAAGTTTTCTCAGAAACCACTATGTCTATCTATTATCTAACTATCCATGTATCTGTCTATCTGTCTGTCTGTCTTCTGTGTACCTCTGAGCTGCTGAGAGCCAGCAAGGGAAGAGGATAGCATATTTGCAAGTCCACTCTTGGCCTCTGCTTCTGGGCTCAGGAAAGACACATCTGCAAAAGCAAAACACAAGCAGCAGATTTAATGTGCTAGACTAGACCAACACATAAAACCCCATGGCCCTGCCTTCTTTTTTCCTTTTCTACCAGGCCCCCCCACCATATAAGAAGACTCACTCTAAGATGCATGCTTTCTCTCTTCCCCAACCATGGTGGCCCACGAGGAGGCAGCTCAAACTTCATTGCAGATGGTAAGTATAGGGAGCCAAAAAATGTACAAGGCATGATTTTCTACTTCAAGGAGATGAGCGTCTTGGATTAAGCAATCATACCAGAGCTAGAATACATGTTAAACTGGACTGATCAGCTGGGTGCGGTAGCTCGTCTGTAATCCCAGCACTTTGGGAGGCCAAGTCAAGAGGATCCCTTGAGCCCAGGAGTTCATGCCAAAACCCTATCTCTACAAAAAATACAACAATTAGCCAGGCACAGTAACACGTGCCTGTAGTACCAGCTACTCAGGAGGCTGAGGTGAAAGGATCACTTGAGCCCAAGAGGCAGAGGTTGCAGTGAACCAAGTTTGCACCACTGCACTCCAGCCTGGGCAACAAAGCAAGACCCTGTCTCAAAAGCAAACAAACAAACAAACAAAAAAGTGGGTTGATTGAAGGCACCAACATGCTTTGAAGGTTCAAAAGAAAGGAGAAATCACAGGTGACAGATTGAGAGAGTCGGGAAAGATTTCATGAAAGTGACTTCTGAGACAAATCTTGAAGGAATGGTGGGATTTTAATAGGCAGCGATGGAGTAAAGGAAGGATACCCCAGCAGTGCAGAGCCAGAAGTCAAAGCATTGGGGGTGGGGGAAAAGTAGGCTGAGTTCGGCCAGAGCTTAAGATACATGCCAAGGAATGATAGATGATAAGGCTGCAAAGGAATTAGGATGCAGAAAGCCAGTTAAACGAATTTACACTCGATTTAAAAGGCAAAGGAGAATGGTCCATCCGTACAATGGGAAACTTCTCTGCAGTAAGAAAAGGTTTGTCGTTTGATTCAAATTTAATTCAGCTCTAAAGACAAATAGCTGATTCCGTTATTAGAAAACTGTAAGTGTGTTTGGACAACTTGGTTTGCGAATCTTCTCTTAACACCTGTAAATCTTACGAAAGCAAAATACAGATTAAGTGTATCCAATCAAATTTAATCTCCACATTGAGATGTGCTATAACTGGTAAAACACACACTGGATGCTGAAGCATGGTGTGAAGAAAGGATATGAAATATCTTAGTCATCATTCTGATGTGGATTATGTTTTGAAATGATGGCATTTTGGACCGCTTAAGTTAAATACTAATCTTATGGGAGCCAGACATGGTAATGTGCACCTGTAGTCCCAGCCTCTCAGAAGGCTGAGGCAGGAGGATCACTTGAACCCAGGAGTTCAAGTGAACCCAAGACCAGCCTGGGCAATGTAGCAAGACCCTATGTCAAAAAAAAAAAAAAAAAAAAAAGACCAAAAAATATAATGAAATGGAAACAGCAAAAAGCACAGGGGAGTCATTGAAGGGTTTTGAGTGGGGCTGTCACTCGATGAGACATGCAGAGATGCTCCAAAATAATAATAATAATAACTTTGAGGGAGTGTGTGAGGTGGATTACAAGTGGGGGAAACTACAGACAAGAAAGTGCATTGAAAGATATTTTTAATGACTGCACCAGGAAGAACCTGACTGAGTCAGAGGCTCAGATATTTGAACTCCACTCCCCAAATATGGCTCAAAAGTGAACTCCCTGATGCTCTCACTGGGCTAACACCAACTCTCAGTCACTTGCAAAATACCTCACAACCAGGAAAGTTCTGGGTTCTACTGGGAGGGTTCAATCACTGTGAAGGGTCAAAGGTCACCCTGATGAAGGATCCTGGACCAACCCTGAGCCCTGGCTTGACTTGGAGGAAAACCCGACAAGGTTTGTTATTACGTCTTGAGCTGGAATTTACCATTGGAAATGCAGCCTTTGTCACCAGCATGAGGAGAACTGTTTTGCATTTGATGACATTTTCAAAATGGTGTGAAAAATCCCTGACGTTTTTATTAGAAAATCTATAAAGCCCAAACAAATGGTTTCATGCTGCTTTGCCTCATTCTTCATAGGTTCATCGGCAATCCATCATCCCTCCCATTTCTCCCGCGCCCTCCCACTCCCCTTGAACCCATCAGCAGCGACATCTTGCCCATGAACAAAAGAACTACTCGGAGAAGCCCTTTAAACCTTAGCCGTCCTTTGCTTCTCAACTTATACCCCTTAAATCAACAACAATCACTCCACGTTCGCCGGCTCCCTTCCTGAAAGGCAAAACGATGTTGTCACCTCCTTCCAGAAATCCTTTCCTTTTCATCTCACAACACTCAATTCCAGAAGCTTGACTTGCTCTCTCTTCAGTTAGAGATGGGACTCTCTTTCTCGGGTCTCTTTTATGTTTTCTTTAATTTCCAGTTCGAATCAAATCACTGGATTAAGAGCAAATCAGTGAATACTGTGTTTCCCGAGAAAATTTTAAGTCTCTTCCTTAGATTGCCGTTTTGAATAAAGAACTCCTCTATCCTGAATTTCAAATAAGGTGACCTGCCTCAGGCTTCAGATGCAGCTCTTCCTTGCTTTCAAGTCTAACCCATCCAAGCCAACTCCATCTGTCTGATTATTATGCAACTTCCTGTCTATCCCTTCAGCCTCCCTAAAACAGACAACAGAAAGTTGTTGGACTTCCTCTTACCTACCTTCCCCCAGTCATTTCTCCCCTGTGAACCCTTCTCCCTGTACCTCTCTCCCCCACGAAGCACAATAGCTGGTACTCCAGGTGTTCACAGCAAGGGCACTGCTATACAGCCATTGGGCACTGCTACTCTCTTTCACCATTTTTGAGTGAGTCTGATGCCTTTGCCAACACCATCACTATTTAAATAGGGTCTTTCTTATCTTCTCTACCTAGCCCTCTACTGCTTTTTTGATTAATCAGCTTTCATCTATTTTCTGTTTTATACTATTTTTTTATTCAACCGAATGTGTTAGGTGATCACAGTTGGCCAACTAGTATGTTGGCATGGGTTTGGAGTTGTGGGGCTTTAATGTTTTCATTTAATTGTCACAATATCCTTATGAGGTAAGAAGGGTGGAGATGATCACTGGCTCCATTTTACAGATGGTAAATGTCTTTCCTAAAGCTTCCCAGTTAGGCAGAAGTGAGAAGGGCAGAGGTGAGAAGCAGGTCTTCTGCCCCCAAATCGCAATGCCCTTCCACCATACCCCACTGTTTCACTTCCTCATGGAATGCTATTCCATGTCCTCATTCTGATTTCTGGCCTGTCACACCTCTTCCTAGGCCTCTGCTCAGTTCAGCTTCAGCCAGGTCGCTTCCTCTCCTCTTGGATCTCTGCCCATGTTCCTTTGCACAGTAACTGCCAGCCAGTAGCACTGAGCATTAAGCTGAGGAGAATTAACCAGCTAGAAGTCCTGCTCTGTCTTAAAGCTAAACACCCTGGTTTAGCTCTGAGCTGGCTTTACAGTGAGATTTGGATCTCAAATGCTATTACTAGTCCTCCCCTACCCTGCACTCCACCCCCTGCCACCTCGATCCCACACGTGCCCGTCACGCCCCAAGACACTGGCCCTCAATGGCAGCACTGTCTCCTGCATTCCCAAACTACCCTGGGCTATAAAACCTGGGAGGCTCATCTCTGTGCTTTTTTTTTTTTTCTCATCCTCAATGTGTTTTTGTTTTGCAGCACTCCCTGAGAGCAAATAAATACTGAAAAAAAAAAAAAAAGAAAAAGAAGAAAGAAAATCCCAGCAGGCAGAGTCTGGCAGCCCAAGCCACTTTACCTGCAACTCAGCTGACACTCAGTGAGATGCTCAGCAAACCTCCACAACAGGTGCAGGGAAAGCTGCAAAAAATACATATACACTGCTTTGCTGTGGATTCTTCATTTTTAACTGAGACTTTCAGGGTCCTATTTATTCCCCTCCAAAGACCCGGAACAAACCCAAATAGCAGAAAATGCAGCATTGCTCTAAAAGGCACAAATCAGCCAGAGGCACGGGGCAGGGGAAGTAAATGGAATTCCTACAGTACCCCCAAGCTCAGCAGGAATTCTTTTTGTCCCCTAATCCATCTCCTGTGTCACCAAGTGTGACGGTAGCCAAACAGGCAGGAAGGCTCTCATGGCCACAAAGAAGACAGGATGCCCCCACCCTTGCTCCTCACCACCAGGGCAAACACTTCACATGAAACTTAAGACGGGTATTCCGGTGTGGCATTGCGGCAGTGGAGTCAAGGTCAAATAAGTTCACTGAATAAGACCGAGTGGTCTGAAGCAGCAGATGACAGTGGGATAGGCAGGAAGTAGGTAGGGTGTGGGTAAGGGCTTGCCAGCCAGCCCTCCAGCATTGACTCAGCACTCCTCCTCTCCCTCTGCATGTCCTGCTCTCAAATCGCTGCCAACTACCAGCCCCAGCGCTGTCAGTAGAAGAGTGGGACCAGGCACTCTTCTCCTTTTGTCTTACATCTTCCGTAGAGAGCACTCAACTAGGAGTCCACTGCATGGGTTCCTTTCTTATGAGAGATGACCAGCAAATCACAAACTCAGTGCATCTGTTTTTCTAAAAAAGAGGAAGATGATGATGCCTTCCTTCCATCCTGTTCCCAACCTTCCCACCATCCTCCACAAACACACACACACACACACACACCCCTTAAAAACTAGGAAGAGTCCCCAAAGGGCTATGAGCT